CAGACACTTGCCCTCTCACGGAGTAATAGCTAGAGCGCTATTAGCTGCCAAGACACCAAAGTGTGTAAATAACTTAACTAACTCAAACGCTATAGCAAAGGAAGTAATCAAAGGATTACATTCCTGGATACTGCCACAAAACCAACTAAAAGAGTAGTTTAACCAAATCCAAGGGATTTGTGTGAGATACGGATTTTGATCTCACACTGCCAAGACACCAAAGTGTGTAAATAAATTAAATAACTTGAGTGCTATAGCAAAGAAAGTAATCAAAGAATTACATAGCTGGATACTGCCATAGAACAAAACGAATATTAGTTTAACCAAATCCAAGAGATTTGTGTGAGATACGGATTTTGATCTCACAATGGTAGAAAGTAGAAATTAATTATGACACACTATTAAAAACATAAGTGCAACACCCCCTTTACTACATGTGTAACCCCCTTTATGACAGTGTCAAAATACTTTGGGCTGCATGTATAGTCACTACCATTCTCATCTAAAAAGTGAAACTTTATTTACAGCTGAACAAAAAAGAGAAATTTGCTTATTAAAAAGAAATAAGCTCAACCAAAAAATGTTGAATTAGCAGTGCAATATGGATTAACCTAGGCCATACATTTGTTATCATCATATTTATGTTATCATTTTTTATTTTTATCTTTTTTTTTGTAATAAAGATTGTCTCAATGAACTTTTGTTACAACAAATTTAGGTGGTCAGTCTCACACATTCATTATGACAAGGTTAGACTGTAATAAATAATTTTTTTTATTAGAATTGATGATGTTAATTAGAGAGTAATATATTTTCAGTGACAAATTTCAGATGTGATAAATATTGATTGACAAAAAAAAGCAAACTACATGATTATTAAAAGTACACATAATGCATTTAAAATTGCATTGTTGATATTAATGTATAGCATTTAATGAAGTTGTACATATAGTTTTAAGGGTTCTGCCTATCAACTCTAAAAGTTCATTGAATATTATCAAAATTTGCTTTCAATAAATCAATACAGGTAGTTTGTTAAGAACAACTCTCTTCATTTTTTTGTTTCTCACTATTTTCCTCTATCAACAATATTTGAGCCTGAAATCATTCCAATAAGCATTTTTTCAACATCTTGAATATCAGGCCTGCTCTTTGGGTCACCCTGCCAACATGCTAGATACAAATAAATGATTAACAAAATTTAATGCATATAAATATATGATTTTAAATATATATATATATACTTTTTACCTTTGTATAAATTAACATACTCATCAGGTGTATTAGGAATAGGTTCCTCACAAGTTCCTTTCAAAATATCAAGTGCTAAACCATATCTTCGATAATGTGAATCCAGATTATCAAAAGGTGGCCTGTTACTAGTCAACTCCCATAATAAGACACCCACACTATATACATCTGATTTTTTGTTTGGCTTATATACTTTTTCATTGAAACATTGTGGGTCAACATAAGATGTTATTCCTGCCAATTGGGATGTTGAAGTGGGTGTAGATTCAAGTATTTTACGGGAAAGTCCAAAATCTGCCAATTTTATGGTTTCTTGATGAACCAAGAAATTTTTTGAATGCTTTTCAAAAAAGATAAACATTATTATTTTAAAATAATAAATTTATATAATGTGCAATTATTTAATTACCAAATCTCGATGGATAATATTGTTTTCATGTAAACATAAAACAGCTGATGCAATCTCATGTGCAAATTTCAGTTTTAGATCCCAACTGATTGACTCAAAATTTTCACGTAGGTAACTTCTTAGTGTTCCACTATCTGCATACTCAAGAACCAATAAATATTTCTTTTTGCCTTTATATATAAATATAAATATCAGTTAATGGGAAAAATTTGAAATAGAAAAAAATTTAAACATACTTTCATTCTTAGTGACACCATAAAAATGAATAATATTTTGATGGTAGTCAACTTTACGTAATAATTTCAACTAATTGAGCCAATTATTATTATTAGTTGAAAATTTTTTTTAAATCTACAACCAAAAATATATTGTAATTTACCTCATTAACAACTTCTTTCATATTTGTTATACCAAATTTATATGATTTCAAGGCACAAGTGCTATTGTTATATATTGCTTTATAAACTTTTGCAGAACCACCATCACCAATTTTTTGAAGATTTTTAAACCTACTATATTCATGAAAATTAATGTGTTCATTCTGAATTGCCTCATTGAGCCATTCTAACCAATTAACCTTAGGTTTATCAATAATTGCTTTGTTTTCATTGATTATTCTATTGTTTGGTTTATCCTTTGTTTCTTTGTAGTCTTGACTAATTGGAGGAAGTGATGGTGAAGGAATTTCCTGTAGTTTTTCAATTTTAAATTCTTCATTTAAATCATTTGAAGGAATATTTGATTGAAATCCAAATTGTGGTAGTTGCTGCTGATGAAAAGGACCAGTGAGTTGTTGTTGTGAATTACTATCATCATCATCATCATTATTATTATTATTATTATTATTATTATTATTATTATTATTATTATTATTATTATTATTACTACCACCACCACCACCACCAATATTAATACTACTAAATTTATTCAGATCAGCTGGTCTCTTAGTTGGCATCATTTGTGCACAATCATCAGGCATCCCCAGTGATGTTAATGGTGAACCTAAGAAATAAAAAATAAATTTATTTAATTAGATGATGTTTAAGATAAAGTTTATTTTGTGTTGTAAAAGTTGATTTATAATATAATACTTACCAACTGGTTATTATAAAAAAATAAAAAATAAATTTATTTAATTAGATGATGATGTTTTAATAAAGTTTATTTTGTGTTGTAAAAGTTGATTTATAATATAATACTTACACCCTGGTTATTATAAAGGAATAAAAAATAAATTTATTTAATTAGATGATGTTGAAGATAAAGTTTATTTTGTGCTGTAAAAGTTAATTTATAATATAATACTTACCAGCTGGTATTATAAAAAAATAAAATTATTTAATTAAATGATGTTTGATAAAGTTTATTTTGTGTTGTAAAAGTTAATTTATAATATAATACTTACATGCTAATGAAATAAAAATAAAATTATTTAATTAGATGATGTTTTGATAAAGTTTATTGTGTTGTAAAAGTTAATTTATAATATATTACTTACATCCTAAGAATAAAAAATAAAAAAATTTAATTATATGATGTTTTAATAAAGTTTATTTTGTGCTGTAAAAGTTAATTTATAATATAATACTTACCAACTGGTTATTATAAAGAAATAAAAAATAAAATTATTTAATTATATGATGTTTTAATAAAGTTAATTTTGTGCTGTAAAGGTTAATTTATAATATAATACTTACAATCTATAAATAAAAAATAAAATTATTTAATTATATGATATTTTAATAAGGTTTATTTTGTGTTGTAAAGGTTAATTTATAATATAATATTTACCATCTATGAATAAAAAATAAAATTATTTAATTATATGATGTTTTAATAAAGTTTATTTTGTGTTGTAAGAGTTTGATTTATAATATAATACTTACCACCTATAAATAAAAAATAAAATTATTTAGTTAGATAATGTTTTGATAAAGTTTATTTTGTGTTGTGAAAGTTAATTTATAATATAATACTTACATGCTATGAAATAAAAAATAAATTTATTTAATTAGATGATGTTGAAGATAAAGTTTATTGTGTTGTAAAAGTTAATTTATGATATAATACTTACATCCTAAGAATAAAAAATAAATCCATTTGATCAGATAATGCTTAATAAATTTTATTTTGTAAATATTTATTTACCTTTATAGAATTTAGCTAAATATTATTTTATAATAAAGCAAAATATTAAATCGTGATGTAAAATCCTTTACTCTTACTACATATTTTTAAAATAGTTATTTTCTGTTTAAGAAAAAAAATACCTTCATTCATTTTTTTCTATTGGGAATATAAAGGAATTTTTTGTCTACTGTTCTTTAACATGCAATAGGATTCATAGTATATAGTCGCGGGACATTGCAGATCACTCACCTGCCAAAAATATCCGGACAAAATGTAGATCATAATCATGTAAATTTCCGTGACATTTCTGCGTGTTTTACACAAAAATACTCGAAAACTAGTGAGAAAACATGGCCTTTTGTCCTATGTAACTGCACTTCAAATGTTTGAAATTGCATATTTCCATTAATATTTATAATCTAATAAAATATAGTTTTTGGGTGATATGTAAATTCTTAAAATCGT